CTTCTGGTTTGTTCAAAACAGCTATTTCTTCTATCCTTTTCCTCTTCAAACTAGTTTTTAAAGAAACTTTATAGCAATTTATTTGTATAAATTCTTTATTGTTGAATGAATATACTACCTACTTGTGTTCTTTGTAATGTTGATATGGATTCCAAAGTTTTTCAAGCACTATTCCACTAAGTGGGGTCGACTACATGGATCAAACCATGCCAAAGTTTTGTTCTAATGATGGAAATTTTGATTCCAAACTCTTCTATAATTCCAGATTTTTCTCTCTTCCAAGCTGTGTAATGTATGAAACAGAGTCTGTTTAACAGAGATTAACAGTGTTTTTAATGCGTCAGTTTCTCCTTGGCAGTTGGATGAATACAACAATGATAGAGAACAGAAAAACTTTAGATGGCTCAGATCTTGATGATTTTGACAAGGTAAACAATACTTCTACTTTTGTTGAAACGATATTTTGTGTGCGGGTATGTAATACTTACCAATCGTTTGATTCTCTGAACTTGTTCACAATTTAAACTTTATGACATCTCCCTTCAGAGAAAGATCCCTGCTCCAGGGTTCCAGGTCGAAATTGTGATGGTAGACTATAATGGCACTCTACCTGGAAAAGTCAAACCTGCGAGCAAAGGATCTGATGGCAACATAAGCAATGTCTTATCCGGTGCAAAGCCTACATCTAGTACAAGTGAGAGTAAAGGACCTTCAAACAGAGATGATGATGTATTCTCAGATAGCGATGAAGAGGAGACCAAGGGAAAACAAAAGAGAGAAGCTGCAACTGATTACAAATATATGGCACCTCATCAAGTATCTGAGGCCACCACCGACCATGTAGGGATGTTGGCACACTCAACGGATCAGCTGTCACTCCAGCATGCGGATCGTACAGAAAAGAATGCTTCTAATTCTAAAGAATCAACTACAGATAAACTTAATAAAATTCATGCAGGCCCTAACACCTCCTCCAACATGGAATCTGTAGGGGCAAGTGAAATCAAGGCAATTGCAGCAGATGCTTCAGTTTTTTCTTTTGGAGATGAAGATTTTGAGAGTGATTCAGAGGAGGCTGGTTGAATTCTAATTCAATTTCGTTACTATTCAGGAATTCATGTATAGCTCTTTCCATGGAGATCATCATACCCACATGTAAAAGGATCAAGCACATTATGTAACTCATTGAATTTACCCCTTCATGTTTTCAAATAACTCTTTCTTGTATTTTTTCATTTAAATTTTGTATATTTCAAAGGCTACACTCTCATAATTCTTCCAGAGTCCATATGATTTTCCTCTCCTTCCTTGAGGCACTTAGGACTGTGTTTGAAAATCTAATGTAGTGCCAAGGTATCATTTCATGTCTTCAGGTTCATTTATCATTTTTGGTACATATACAAAAGATTATATTACACACATTTTGATATTTTATGCAAGTACAGTCTAAACCATTGAGTATTTTTCTAGGGAGTTAAATTGTTGTTTCAAGATCTGTGTTATAATTTCGCCGGTTTAGCTTATTTAAATTGTGTCTGCTTACTAAGTGAGATGAAGCAAACGTGCGGCTAGTGAGAAGCTATTAGTTGTAGCTTTTGGTTCTACGTGAGTATAGAAATTGATATTTCTAAACAACCTTTTTTTTTTTAATATCTTTCTAAAACCAATGATATAAAAGCCCATGTATCTTTTTATTTCTTTGTTTAATAATGTATAACGATCCTCTCAGTCTGATAATACTATACAATGTAATGATACATACAAAGAATAATTAATCGACTTTACATGTTGATAAAGTAGTTAACTTTTGCTTATAATTGAATCCAGAATAGTATATATAACACTCCTCACAAACGTAATACTTAGATGCCCTGAAAGTTTAGAAAGCAATACATAGTGGTTAATAAATATCATACTCCACAGGAGTATAATTTTCACATTATGTGAACTTTTAGAAAATGCAGAGTGATTGATATTACAGTTGGCTCATAATTCAGATTAACCAAAGGTAACACTCAAGTTTATGCCAACATATATAACCAAACAAGATGTCATAACAATTTACAGAACGTGCTGCCAATTCTCCATATTCATATGATAACTTGATTCATCTTATCTTGTTAGATATGTTACTTGATAACCAATCAAGCCCTTCATAGAGTCCTTGGCCCGACGTGGCACAAGTTGACTGGATGTACCTGAACCAATAAAAAACTATAATAAGTTCACAATACATTATATTTTCTCTAAATTTATAGGGATATATTATTATAACGAACTAGATTACATTATCTTATCTTTCCATAACAACTTTCTGTTATTCTGTTATGAGAAGATTTAGTTAGTTACATTATAGTTTGTTAGACTTTGGCTATGATATATAGCAGCCATTCTCTACTTTGTATTACTGTAATAAAAATATGTCATTTTAGTAATAATTCTCAAAAACAGTTATCTTCAACCTTTCTCGTTGTTCTTTAAAGTTTATCATGGTCTCCGACAATGAATCCTTCGTTATCACACCATCTTCTCCGTATTATCTTAACCCCTTAGATGATCGCAGAACCACATTGTCAGATGATCTTCTCACCAAGAAAAACTATTGGAAGTGGTGGAAGTCGGCCAAGCGCTCACTTCGCGCAAAAATCAAGCTAGGTTTTGTGGATGGAACCATCAAGAAACCGTTGGAATCATCTCCGGAATTCCATGTCTGGGAGAAAGCCGACTCCATGGTCTATGCATGGATCGTCAACTCAATAGATCCTTCACTACATGACATCATATTTCATGTGCCTACGGCAAGAGATCTTTGGAAAAATTTGCAGCAAAGGTTCTATAAAGGTGATCAACCACGTATTCACGAGTTATACCAAAATCTGCGTTTTGTTACACAAGAACCTAACATGCCCCTGAATGATTATTATCACAATTACTCGAGTATGATGGAGGAGCTCGCTGAACAACTACCGCCGCTTGAGTGTGTAGGTGAGGATACGAAGAATTTTCAGCTGTTTCAAGAAGACCTTTTGACTAGAAAGTTCGTTCTTGGTCTTGATGATCGCTTTTCCCACATGACAGTATCCCTTCTTAGCTTTAACACTATGCCACCTTTGAGGATAGTTTACGATCGCGTATTAAGCGAGGACACACGACTCACTCTTGATAAATACAAGGCAGAAACGCAAGAAAAAAACAAGCCCGAATATGGAGACAACTCTTCTGGTAATCACATTAAATGACTCCATTATATTCGATCTTGATAGATAGATGTTCACAGCCTTGTGCAACCATTACGCGTTTCCTTGTCCACAGGGAACACTGACATGGTTCGCAAGACTAGGACAATCGGATCATTTTAAAAACTCGTGACTCAAAGTGCATTGTTACTTATTTCTGTTAATGGCTGTGTTATACAGGACCGAACAATGAAGAGGACAATTCGATCCAGTGATTTGCACGAGGGGAGTCGAAGCCAATTCTTTCTCATCCGCACGAGTTTCAGAAGATTTGAATGATATTTGGCAAGCTAGGATGTGGCATACTTCTAGTCAAAAATTGTCTATTGTTCTTAATTTTTAATGATACTAAGCTAGGATCTTTTCATGTATGTCATTGTTCTAAACAATACAAACCTCTTTTCCCTTTAAGTAGTAATAAAGCAGTTTTTCTTTAAGTTTGATGCATTGTGATCTACGGAAAATAATTCTGAAGAGTTATCTTCAACCTTTCGCATTGTTCATTGAAGTTTATCGAAATAACGATTAAAGTGACTTACCAACGGCGCTGACGGAGTGAATGTAAACCAAGTTTATCAGTAATTTCTGCAACACTCAAAGCATTTGGAAGGTCTTGCTTATTGGCAAATACAAGCAAAGTGGCATCGCGAAGTTCATCCTGCAGTGTAAACGTTTATTAATATGAAACAAATGCAACAATTTTTCGCTTTTATTGTGCAAGTAAAAGCTACTAACCTCACTCAGCATTCTATGGAGCTCATCTCTGGTTTCTAAAATTCTTTCTCTATCATTACTATCTACAACAAAGATAAGTCCTTGTGTATTCTGAAAGTAGTGCCTCCACAACGGTCGAATCTACATGAAATTCGCCATATAAACATGTATTTATGGTTTGCAAAATGATCATAGAAGCTAGAAAATTTCGCATAGTACCTTGTCTTGTCCTCCAACATCCCAGACAGTGAAGCTGACATTTTTATACTCAACCGTCTCTACATTGAAGCCTGGTTCATCAGAGACAATAATTTACGTCAACTTTCAATCATTTTTCGCATAGAATTCATAGTAAAACGAAAAGTAAAAAAAAAAAGTCGACGTGACTATTTGGAACCTATGGTTGGTATGGTTGTGACAATTTCTCCAAGCTTCAGTTTGTAGAGTATTGTTGTTTTCCCAGCTGCATCTAGACCCACCATCAAAATCCTCATTTCTTTCTTTGCATAGAATAATCTCATTATCCGCGACACGGTCAAACCCATTTTTTCGCCTTTTGTTCAAGCAAAATTTAACCCAAAAAAGAACCTAAAGGTATAAAACTTGAAATTTTTCTAAGATCAATCTCTTATTGAAGAGATGGAAGTTATAACTTATGTAAAAAAATTAATGAGTTGTTTGTATATTATATGAAAATAAGACCAGAAAATTGCATCAAGCATCAATTCTCCGATGTAGAAAAAAGCTAGAATATGATTCTGATGATAAAGGGTAGTGTGGTATCTTAACATCTTTGTTTAGCTTAAGATTGAGGCCAATTAAGATTCTTATGATTGAGATTAAGATGCAATTTGGGTAGCGTCAAAGTTAAGCATTTGATAAAACACCATTAAGAAATAATTATTATATTATGGAATCAATTGATACAAAAAATACATCATTGACATTATGTTCATGTCTATGTCAAAGAACAACTTGTACAAGAATGAACAAACACATTATCAAACTTATTATGTTCTTTGCAGAAAAAATTGACAATTCTATTTAACATTATTTTTTTGAAATTGCATCCTTAGCAGATTGTAGAGTGGACGCCACGGCATCAGCAGCACCGGTAAGAACACCACCACTGGTTTTGGAATGGGGTTCATGAATGACCTGCACTTTCCTCTCTTCTTGTCCATGCCCTGCGGAAGATTGATGATTGACCGTTTCCACCTTTTTTTCGATGGAACTTCGTACATTCAGAGTATCCTCCTGACAGAAAAATTCATACAGATTTTATTAACCATGAAAACAGATGAAATCACAAAATGGATGCGCAAATGGTATGAGTTTGTTTAAACTATACCTTATTAGCTTGTTGATTCATTTTAACCCAATAATTAATCTACAAAAATGCTTCCCTTGTAATCGAGTTAAGACTTTTATCTTAATACCTCCCAAAAGTTTAATGTTTTTATGGATACAAAGTTTGTTTACAAATCTAAGAAATAAGTGGAGGAGGAAGAGGGAAATTAGTAGGAACGCCCACACATGTTGCTTTACCATCCGATTATTGGGGCAAAAACCAATGGTGCAAATTGTATGATCCAATAACAATAATGAAAACTAAAATAGTGCCAAAATTAAACTTAAGCACACTCGATTTTAAAATCTGCAAGGTTTCTATGACCCATATGACATAGCTATATTTCTGGATCAAAAGCATATACCATAAACCATATACCATAGATTCATGGCATAATAATCTCTCTAGGACGACTAATTATTACAAAAAGCAATTGTAGCACAACACATAAATCTGAAATTACTGTAACCAAAATAGTTTTCTTCCTCCTTCAATTTTTCCTTCAGGTCATCATAGAGGTGACCCCTCATAGTGAACATTTGAAATATCAGAAAGCCTCCGCCTAGGAGACAAATTGGTGATACCAGCAGCATCACATTCAGGATTGTTGATAGTCTTTCTCTTAGAGCTGCTCTTCTCTTCAGAAACCTCAGCAATGGGACTCAAAGTATTTGCTTCCTGTTGTAGACCAGCCGTAAGAATAGCTTGAGCTTCAGCCAACTCAGATCCGTTGTCATCAGTAGCATACAATATCTTCAGTATTGCTTCAAAAACCTGAATCATATATAAAATTCACATTTCAACAATCAGCCATCAAGAGTCACCCAACTTCGGTACTCAAAAGGAGGGAGTTTAAAAGCAAAATACCGGTGAGTTTTCTACTCCAGGAGTCTGACCAAGAATCTCAATATCCCTCAGTTTTGCAAAGTAAAAGTCACGTTCCTTCTCAAGGCTATCAATGGATAACTTCAATTCTGTTATCTGTAATCAATTGATATTAAATCTATGCACTTATCATAATTCATAATTCACTTGACATTATTTTTAAGACGATAAAAACAGTACCTGTTGCACCTGTTGATCATAAGCAGGGTTTACAGCAGCAGCAGGGGCAGAAGGCCTTGAGGCTCTTACAGCCCCATGACTTGCAGGGTGGTTAGCAGTAGGCGCATCATTTCTTCGAGCACTATGTGAAGATTGAGGCCTGTGAGCAGGTGTCGAACCACCCTTAGTTGAGGGTTGAGAGTGTGCAGATCTTCTACTGACTTCTCTTGCTCCTTTGCATACCTCTCTCCTCTCAGAAGGATTATAACTGAAATGCAAACCACATATAACTCATGCTATTAACAAAACATTCAGCAACTTCAATTTAAAACTAATCAAACGTAAACCACATGTAACTCATGCCATTAACAAAATGTTCAGCAACAAACTAGACTACAAAAAGTTCTGAGTTTGAAAATGAAATCAAACACAAATCCTCCATTTGTAATTTGAATTCTAATTTGAATTCCAATGACATATCATCAGCAGAATTACAGAACTCCAATCATAAAACCCTAACTATTAAGACTTGAATTTGAAATTTAAGCATGCATGTCAGTAAAATTACAGAAATACAGAATTCCAATCATAAAACCCTAACTATCATCAACAGAATTATTAAGGAATTCCAATCATAAAACCCTAAATATTAAGACTTGAATTTGAAATTGAAATCTAAGCACACATGTCAGAAAAATCACAGAATTCCAAAGACAAGCCCTAATTATCAATCAAGATAACGATTCCAAAATAATAAAAAATAGAGTAAAGATTAAATTACCTGTCCAATCCAGAATTGACAGAATCGCAGTATCGTTTCATCCATTGCATGAACTCCAGATTATCCAGCGGTCTTCCTTTCACTAGCTTACTAACCTCAATGTGCTGAAAAAAACAAAAAACAAAAAACAACGAAATCAATCGAAGATCATAAGATCTCAAAACAAAGAAAAATCAGAGACGAAACCGTAAATCGAGCGACGGAAAAAGTGATTTTACCTTAGTGATTTTGAGTTTGTTGAAGACATCTTGAAGAACTTTATAGTTCTGAATCATCTCATACTCACTCTTCGCATCAAAATTCACCTTATGCATCGGAACAATACCAGGATGAGCGGCATCAAGAAGCTGACAGTGAACAGCACCAGAACAAGCCTAACAAATCGAAAAATCAACGAAAACAGATCGATCTAATCAGTAACGTAAATAAAAATACCTAAAACAGAATCAACGAAAATCGACGGAAGAAACCAGATCGATAAAACCGAACCTCTTCGACTTTGGAGAGATTGAGTTGAAGAAGCGAATTGATCCACGAGAGAATCTCAGATCTACCGACGAAGTAAGCAGCGTCCATGATTCCGATGTTGGTGGCCATTTTCTTCTTCTCTGCTTCGCTTCGTTTTTTCGTTCTGAGTTTTTTCTTTCTTTTCTTACGTCTTTATCTTTTGATGGATACCAACGGCTCTTTGCAATGTTGAAATAGAGTTCAAATATATAGAGGCAGAAGCGGGAATTTTATGAATTTAAAATTCATTGAAACTTGTTGTAATGAAACGTTGTAACGTTAGGGGAACGTTGGAACTATTTTTGGGCTTGGGCTTTTCTATAGAGACGGGCTTAAGGTATGAGTGGGCTTCTATTTTCGAAAGGGGATTTCATCATTATGTCCTCTTATAAGTTTCTCACCAAATTTCTATTATATTTTATTTTTAAAGGGTCTTCGAATATGTATATTTGAGATAATTTAATATTTTATTTTTAAGAGTTTCTGGATATTCACATCCGAAATAATTCAATATTTCGCGCTTTAGAGAGTTTTCATATATGTATATCTGAAATAACCATTTATATCAAATATGAGATTTTCAAAATAAGAGATAAGAAAATTAAATATTGACCATTAAATTTGATAAATGATTTTGATGAAGTCACATTAAACCTCATGAATATTTTATTAATCCATAGGAATAATATTTGTTACTATTTGTTGTCATATAATTAATATTTTAAGTGGATAATAATAATAAATAAAAGAACATAATATTTTTAAAGTTAACCGTGGAATTTCATAACCTTAATTAAATAAATTAAAACATTTTATAATATTTTTATTAAATAATTTAATGACAATCAAGTGTGATGAGTTGTTTGATTTATTTTTAATGACAATCAAATTGATTTATTTTTAATATTAATTTATTAAAATGAGACAACAAATCTTTTAGGATAAACTATAATTTTAACAGATTACTTAATAATATATATCTTTATAGTAAATTGTGTAGAAAAAGAAATTAATAACATAAAATATCAATTGTTACATTTTAATATCTGATTTATATCTCAATAAAATTAGTTGTGTTGTTTTAATAATGAAATCAATTTCATTCAGTAAAGTATTTTTTAAAAAGTGTCTAAAATACAAATATGAAAATTAAATGAAGAGATCTAAAATACTAATCACTAATATTTCCCTTGTAATTATTAAAATAACACATCAGAGAATATTTCATATATGTATATCCGAAAAGACTTTTTTTCGTTAAAAAATAGTTTATTCGAAGATACATATTAAAGGAATACCTCTAATCATGTACCTAACAGTACTAGAGAATTCAATGGGGTGTGTACTGGGGCAGCATGATGAGTTTGGTCGAAAAGAGAATGCAATATACTACCTTAGCAAAAAGTTTACCGACTATGAAATAAGATATTCACTACTCGAGAAAACTTATTGCGCTTTGGCATGGGCTGCTCGCTGACTAAGATAATATATGTTGACTGATACTACTTTATTGATTTCTAAAATGGATCCCATCAAATACATATTCGAGAAGCCGGCCCTCTCCGGAAGAATAGCCCAATGGAAAATGATCTTAACAGAATACGATATTCAGTACACCACTTAAAAGGCAATCAAAGGAAGTGTACTGGAAGATCATTTGGCACATCAAGCTGTAGACGACTATTAAGGTTCTTGGTGATCCCTTAAGAGAAAACTTAAATATAGGAGGAAGTAGAAGAGAAAATCAACCCTAATGTATGATCTTGATGTATTGTGATGATATGAGACGATGAGAGATCTTAGGGGAAAAATGGGGGTATAATAACTCGCTCCTGAGATGTGCATGACAAAATCATACAAGTTTTTTACGTGCGTCATTCCAGGGTCATCTAGTCCAAAAGCTGAAATCGATGTGTACTTACAACCTTTAATTGATGATTTGAAGAGGTTGTGGATTGGAGAATGGACTTATGATATATCTCATAAACAAAACTTTACTTTATGAGCTGCCTTGATGTGGACCAGTAACGACTTTCCCGCATATGGCATGTTATCTAGTTGGGGTACGCATGACAAAATGGGTTGTCTGCATTGCATGGGATACACCAAGGCGTTTACATTAAAGGGGGAATAGCTTATTGTTTGACCGTCACCACATATTCCTACCAATAAATCTTTCCTATAGAAGAAATAAGACAAATTTCAAAAAAGGCGAACGAGTAACCGAATTGGCTCCGCCTCGATTGTCACCATGTGCTATATGGAACCAAGTTTGTGAACTACCAAAATTCACAGATACTGGAAAAACATGTAGAATTAGAGGATATAGAGCCACACACAATTGGACAAAAAGAAGTATATTTTGGGACCTCCCGTATTGGAAAGATAATTTATTGCACCATAATCTTGATGTTATGCATATTGAGAAGAATTTTTTTGATAATGTATTTAACACAAGGATGGATGTTAAAGACAAAAAAAAAGATAATGATAAGGCTAGACAAGACATGGAAATTTGGTGTAACCGAAAAGAGTTAGAGTTGAAGCCTCAACCGAATGGAAAATTATTAAAACCCAATGCTTGTTTTAGTCTGACTTCCCAAAAAGCTAAAGCGGTTTATAGATGGTTAAAAGATTTGAGAATGCCCAATGAGTATTCTTCAAATTTAGCAAGGTGTGCCGACACTAACACTGGGAAGTTGCATGGTATGAAAAGTCATGATTGCCACACTTTTATGGAACAATTGCTACAAATTATGTTTGGTTCACTATCCAAACGTGTGCTTAATCCACTAACTGAAATTAGTCAATTTTTTAGAGATATTTGTGCATCAGCTTTAAGAGTGGATGACATCATTAAGTTGGACCAAAATATTCTACTCATTCTCTGTAAGTTGGAAATAGTATTTCCGCCTGGTTTTTTTTTTACTCCATGGAACATCTACATGTGCATCTTGCATATGAAGCTTATCTTGGCGGACCTATTCAATATAGATGGATGTATCCATTTGAAAGGTTCATGGGTGATTCAAAGCGATAAGTGAAAAATAAAGCTAGAGTTAAAGGATCAATATGTGCATATTACTTGCATCAGGAAACATCACATTTTTGCAGTCACTAGTTCAATCACTTGATGTTAACTCCAAGAATCATACAAAATCTTGTAAATGTTAACTAAAGAAGTAATTTCACCTTATCAGTCTTCGGGTTTCTAGGTCATCCATCTGGAAAGAAGGGTGTGCATTGGTTGACTCAAAAAGAAATGCAATCCACACATGTTCATGTCTTGATCAACTGCGTCGAAGTTAAACCATATCTTGAGTAAGTACACCCCATCTTTTTAATTTTCTTTACAGTGTGGATATAAAACTTATTACCTTGTAACTTATAGTATGGTTCTTTTTAGGGAATTTAACAACGCCTATTTTCATAGTATCGATGTACAATCAACATCTAGTGTCATTCATGCTCAATTTCCAACATGGTTCAAGGAGAGATTGTCTAGAATTTTTTGCACTGACTCCAGAAATACTCCATTTGAGAACCTTGTCTTATAGACATATTCAAAGCGCAAATGAACGACACACATACTTTGTGAATGAATATAAATTTCACAATGAGACATAGATTGAAGGAAAAAAACCCATAAACAGTGGTGTATTTGTAAAAGGAGTTACAAATGGTGGTGAAGATGACTTATATGGCTTTGTTACACATATCTACGAGTTGGTATACAATTACTTGGACTCAGAAAATAAAGTTGTCTTGTTTTATTGTGAATGGTATGATCTAACTAGAGGCACAAAAATAGATAAGACATATGATATTGTTGAGATTCAAATGGACCGAAGGTACAACGAGTATGATCCTTTCATAATATCACATATTGTTAGGTAAGTTTATTATGTTCCTTATCCTTCATTTCTACCACGTAAACGAGGGTGGTGTGTTATAATAAAAATAAAACTGTTGGATTATATTAAAACTGGCAATCTAGTGGAAGATCTTACTTATCAAATTGGTGAAGTTGAACAACTTAATGATGTGATTGCAGATGAACAAATTACAAATTTTTCAGATACAATGGTTGAGGGGCATTGTTGGCTGAAGATTTTGATAGTATTATTAGAAGCAAAGTAAGTGGACGTTTCGATTGAAATGAAACAAAACGTCGTGTTTCGAAATAGCAGAAGCAGTGTTTCGAATGAGCATATCAAGGCTTGGAGCTTCGAGTGGAAATTATGAGAACATATCTAAAGAAGTCTCGAAATTACAACAAGGTTGTGTCTAAGAAGTGCGTTTGAAGCGAAGAAGTGCCAAAACATTTGAAATTCAAATGCAAGCGGGATGTTCGAAATTTGAAATATATGCGCTGGAGCACTCGAAGACACGTGGAAACAAGAGAGAGGCATTGTTCTGCATGTTCTGAACGTGGCAGGATCTTATAGCAAGACCGTTATGGTCGAAGTAGTATAAATAGAAGTCTTAGCATTAGGATTTCGTGTGTCATATCTGTTTGTACAAAAAAACTCAGTAAACATTCAAATTACCACATGGCTAGGGAAACGAATGCAAGAGCAATGTACGTATGATAGCACCACATGTTTATGATTTAATGAAAACCCTTTATCATTTCCAGTACTTTCCTTTATCTTTTTGTCAAATACCATTTACAAGTTTTTACATCTAAAGTCTTTTTATTCGAAATCTTTTCACTAATGCCTTACATTTAAATGTTGTTTTTCCATCTCAAACGCTTTGCATTTCAGAAACTGTTATACATTTCATGCCTTTATCTTCAAGTTTTTATCCTTCGAGCACCTATTTTTACTTAAAGTCATTTTACATATTTCTTGCATTAAACGCTTTCCTCGCATTTCGAATCTTTTACATTAACTGTTTTGTTTTACGTTTCGAAGCCATTTACTTATCTTTTATACAGTTTTACATGTCTTTACAATTAACATTTATTCATGCAATTTAGTTTCGCGCACATATATTTTGATTACACCTTTAGATCTTTAAGAGAAAATCGAAATAAGTTAAACACCTACACAACATTCTAAATACCAACCATGAATACCTGTTCG